GTTAACAGATTAATGTGATTAGGGTTATAAAGTGTGAAACCCCGCAACTGTGAGATAAGTAATTGTAGCCGTTATTTGTAGATTGTTAAATAAACCAATTAACCATCTCTACGGCGTCTTCAGTAACAAGAAAACACGTTACACTCACGTCCGGATCTTCTTTCCGCGACGGCTGCTATACTCCAACTATAGTCGGCTGACTGGAGAACTGTCGATAACGCACTCGCTCGTTGACTTCTTAACTCAGCGATGTCCACATTATAACTCGGAAATGTCTTCGGCGGTAGCCACACTGGAACTGAACTCATAGCTGCTGTGCATCCACTTATATAGCCGCAGTGCTTACCGGTTGCATAATGAGTTACAATATTTACAGTAATAATAATGCCGACTTTCAGTCGAGGCTACATAGTATCTGTCCCTTAACTCATTCTCACTTTCCTTCATTGCTCCCACCTAGGGAGTATGACTTGAGGCTGTCTCTCTTTTCTTCTCCTATTCATTTCACAGTTTTACTCTATCCTATCATAACGCTTCACCTTTAAATATTATGCTCCTAAAACTATAAATACTACAAGCTTAGCTATGTTTATCAGAAAATCAGTGGTCACAACAATAAACAATAAATATGCGTGCTCCGCATACTACTAGCAAATCATAATACGCAATACAACAACAACCATCTTTACCTCACTGGCAACCTCAACAATCTCTATTCCTTCTATCCTACCCTAAAAACTTGCTGGGCACACTGGAGGTCACTTTTCAACATATCACAACAACATTGAATTTGAATAGCAAGGCTAGCATGAGCAAAGTGACTTACTTGAAATAGAGATGCAGCGACACCATCACTTGTAGGACCTATGTGGAAGAGAGCCTTCGGCTGCTCGGTTATTATTACGTTTTTTGAGCGATCCCCCAAAAGTCTTTCTTTCCCTTTTTTATACACCAAGAGAGCTGACGCAGCCACTGACAAAAGGGGGACGTTACCTCCTCCCCTTTTGTCCTAGATAAGGGTGGTGGTCGTCCGTTGGCTAAACTCTACTCCTCGCGGGCAATCCGCGGCACCTCCCCCTGTGCATTTTGTAATTTCGTACTATTCTCCAGTGTTGCCTGTAAGGCGAGCTTGCAGTGGTGCGATTACACATCTCTGCTGATTAAGTACATTGTTGACCTGGTTACACAGTCTATGTGTTGCCATCATTGCTCTAATTGCTGTAAGACACTTTTGCAAGTCTCGTAACATCTGGGCAATGCCTTAAATTTCCAATCTCGAAATTTTCGGCATAACATAAGACATGAAATAAATAATTTTGAGAATGGTGAAGAGTTTCATTGTGTGATAATGGTAAATCTAGTAAAACCTAGTTAGGCTGATTAAAAGTGTGTTTAAACGAAACGTATAGTAAAGTCCATGTAGTAGACATTTGTCTGATAATTTCCCAATTTAGAATGGTCTAAAACAAGGAGCTACTTTATCACAACTCCTTTTCAACTTTGCTTTAGAATGTGCCATTAGGAAGGTCCAGGAAAACCAGGTGGGACTGAAATTAAATGGGACACATCAGCTGTTGGTCTATGCTGATATGTGAACCTACAGCGTGATAATATAGTTTCCATAAAGAAAAACACTAACTTTAATAGATGCTAGTAAAGAGGTTGGTCTAGAAGTAAATACAAAGAAAATTAAGTATATGTTGCTATCTCATCACCAAAATGCAGCACAAAATCGTGACATAATGATAGAAAACAAATGTTTTGAAAATTTGGCACAGTTCAGATATTTGGGAACGACGATAACAAATCAAAACCTGATTCAGGAGGAAATCAAGAGGAGACTGAACTCGGGTAATGCTTGCTACCATTCAGACCAAAACCTTTTGTCTTCTCGTCTGCTGGCCAAAACCATAAAAATTAGAATATACAAAACTATAATTTTGCCTGTGGTTCTGTATGGGTGTGAAACTTGGTGTCTGACATTAAAGGGAGGAACCTAGACTGAAGGTGTTTGAGAACACGTTGTTGAGGAGAATATTTGGACTGAAGGGAGATGAAGTGAGAGGAAATTGGAGAAAACTACATAATGAGGAGCTTCAGAATATGTACTCTTCTCTAAGTATAATTAGAATGATCAAGTCAATGAGAATGAGATGGGCATTGTATGTAGCATGAATGGGGAAGGAGAGGAATGCATATAGGATATTGGTGGGAAAGCCAGATGGAATGAGACCAGTGGGAAGACCAAGGCATGGGTGGGTGAACAATATTGAAATGGATCTTAGAGAGATAGGATGGATTGTATTGTTCTGGCTCAGGGTAGGGACCAGTGAAGGGCCCTTGTGAACATGGTAATGAACCTTTGGATTCCATAAAATGCTGAGAGGTTCTTGAGTAGCAGAACGACTGGCGGCTTCTGAAGAAGGGCTCAGCTCCATGAGTGAGTGAGTGATTATGGTAAATCGTAATTCATGTTGTAAATATAACCGTTAATCATAACAGTGTACATTCGTGTTCACTGTATCTGCTAAAAGCTTGAATTAGATATTCAGAATTATTTTTTGATGCACATATCTTCTTTAATTTCCTTAAAGAAGATAGACATTGGTTTGGACCCCTCCAGTAAAGCAGAAAGATGACTGACCAGTTGTTGATTTGAACAGAACAAGCTATTGAACCAGGATCCATGAGAATGAGTATATACAAAATGGGATCAAACGAGAATTAGGATGCATACATTATTGTTCAGTTTAAATAAAGCATTATTTCTAGTTGAGAAGTGCTTCTGTCTAGCACTTATCTTTTCATTGCTCTAAACACACAGGCTAGAACAGTTGGTGGACTTGACTCACCTTGGTTCATAGTGGTTCCATCTCTTTTATTTTATGGAATAAAGAAAACAAGGATACAGTGTTTGAAGCATGAATAGTTGAACATAGGAGGAAAACAAAACTGACTTTTTTTTTCTAATTTCTATTGCGATTTTACTCATTTTAATGATGGGTATGGGCCACGCCATAGCTCAAGCAGTTAGTTGCTGGCTTCCCATTGTGGCAACCCAGGTTTAATTCCGGGCCTGGTCAAGTGGGATTTGTGGTGGACAAAGTGGCCCTGGGGCAGGTTTTCTCCGAGTACTTCGGTTTCCCCTGCCAATCTTCATTCCGCCAATTACTCCACAATCACCCTCACCTATCATCTGTGGCTGGTACAATAGGCCAGAAGTGGCCGCAGTACAAGGGACTTAGTCCCATCCCACTAGCAATTAAAAAACTAATCATGGATATACATCCCATATATCCCAAGGAATTAAATACATTTGTAACCTGAAAAAATAATGAAAATTGGGGCTAGAACCATTAAGAACTAAAGGAAGAGTATGCTGCTTAAATTACCTTCATTTTTTATTAAACATATGCACTTATTCCAGAGGGGTCATGTATGGGAAGAGGTGTTAATTCTGCTCCCAGATCATGTAAGCATTGTAATGCTTAGTGCAACTATCCCCAACACACTGGACTTTGCTAACTGGGTGGGTGCAACAAAGAAGAAAAAAGTGTATGTTGTCAGTACATTGAAACGACCTGTTCCATTACAACACTACCTGTACACAGGTTCGAAGACTGGACTATTTCTCATAGTTGAGGAAGCAGGGAAATTCATAGAAAGTGGGTAAGTAGTTTCATCCGTTTGGTGGTTTGATATTGTGTAACACACCAGTTCCTCACCAAATGTGGTTGCCAAAACCAAGGCCGTATGGGAAATTTGGTTGCCATTACAGTCCTGTCTCCAACAAATGTGAATCTGTTGGTTTAGAAGCTACTTCCCCCCCCCCCCATGAATATACAAATAAAAAACTTTTGAGTACATGAAACTGTATGCTGTGGTTGGCAAAACTGGTTGATGATGGTTTGCTGTTTTATATTACTAATTCCATTGTACAAGGATTCAGATTACAAGAAGGTCCTATTTGGGAGTGTAAAGTTTCATCACATTGTTTACACAGGCTTACCATTGAAGCAGTCAGTGTTATATAAAGAAATAAAATAATGTTAATAATATCTTGGTTTTTAAGCATAATTTTATTTGAAATCTGTTTTTGTACATTTACGTGGTACAGTCAATAATTTCGTGGACTGTGGTTTTATCGCATCATATTACAAGGTATTCAAATACACTTACACAGATCCACATTGGCCCTCAAAATAGTTGCTGTTGGCCGTTGTGCAAGTCTGCCAATGTTGATATACCTGCCGAAAACATTGTTGAAACATATTGGCAGGAAATTCCCGTACGGCGTCTTTTGTGGCATTGACGACCTCCTCGGATGACTGAAATCTATGACCATGTAGCTTTGCTCTCAAGTGGTGAAAGAGAAAGAAATCGCATGGTGCGAGATCAGGTGAGTACGGAGGGTGTGGCAAAACGGTGACCTGTTGCCTTGCCAGTTCCTCTTGGGCAAGAACAGAGCGATGTGCAGGGGTGTTGTCGTGTAGCAACAGCCAATTCTTCCTACGCCAAATATTTCAATAGGGGATTTGCCTAGTTTTTGGCAGAACTTGATATTTGCCCGTTGTTCAAACTGCCACATTTTGGATATCTGCCACTTGCATTTAACTGCAGTTCACAATAAAGGCAGTAGTTCTGCTTACACTGTTTGTGCACAACTGCCTCTTGCTGTGACGAGAGATGAACTGACAGGGCATCATATTGTGCCTCAGCCTATCCACTGTAGTGCACTACAACGATGCTTTGCGGCAAGTCCATGAACTTATTTACTGCTGTAGTAAGGTGGCTTTTATAACACTTCTGTATAGTCAGGTTATCATTATGTATATAAAATGTTACATGTAAATTCAAAAAACTAATATAAGCAGGAGACTCTTAGTGAATATAATAAATTGAAAATTATCTTGTACCCCAGTTCTTCAATTTTTCTGCTGGAAAATCTGAGAATAATGCACAAGTGCATTATTATGTTTGATATCCACACATGTTGAATGAAATTATATTGATTCTTCAGTGTTGATAACAGAGGGCCATTTAAAACATTGGAATACTACTCTGTATTTAGTCTCTCACCTAGTAATGCAGAATGATAGTAAATAACTTTAATTTTGTGAAAAGAAGATGCATATCATTTCATTACTCCAGGAAATCTCCAACCCAGGAGCCAAAAGTTCCCCAGATACTTCTATTGGCAAGTTTGGGATTTAAGGATCATAGCCGTCAAATCATCACTTGTCACAACGAGTTGACTGTGTGCAAAACATTTGATGTTGTTGAGGTCATCACATAAATTTTAGCGTCTCCTCCATTGCCACCCTCCTTGAGCTTAAGACATCAACCATTCCATAACCTAGGTGTGTATGGCAGTTGGTATTTTTATTGAATTGGTTAGTTGGAAAAAGGGAACATGTCCAGTAGATGAAAGGAGGACATGTTCCCCTTTTCAACTAACTAATTCAATTATGTTGTCTTGAAAATAGGCCAGGTGCCAAGAAATTAATTCTGTCGTGTCCAGAAGGTTTTCTTTTAGCTGACATAACATGAATATGAGAAGGTTTATATGATAGATCAGTGCATTTACAAGAATTAACACCATGGAGCTCGGTCCTTTTTGGGAAACCACCAGTTGCACAGCTACTCAAGAATTTCTCAACATTTTATAGTACCCAAAGGTTCATTACTATGTTCACAAGAGGCTTCCACTGGTCTATATCCTGAGCCAGAGCAATCCAGCCTACATCACCCCATCTTATCTCTCTAAGATCCATCTTAATATTATCCTTCCACCCACATTTGTGTCTTCCTAGTGGTCTCTTTCCTTTTGGCTTTCCCACCAAAATCTTATATGCATTCCTCTTCTTCCCCATGTATGCTACATGTCCTACGCATCTCATCCTCCTTGACTTCATCATTCTAATTACACTTGGCAAAGTATGCATTTACAGGAAGTAGGGTCAAAATAATCTTTCACAGACCGAATGCCAAAAAATAAACTGTTTAGTCCTCAATTTTCTTTTGCCAAACACAGACTGTGAATATGAGAATATTTTGTGTCATACTTGTATGGTTGTTTTTTCAACTTTCAGCTATGATCTTGCACATACAGTAAAACAGACTCAGAAGAAACAAAAAGCAAAGTATGGTTCTAAAGAAGGAAAGGCACATTTAACTCCAAAACAAGAAGCAACAATCTGGACTGTATTTGTTGCTCAACTAAGGAAAGAAGATAAGTTGCCTGCAGTAGCCTTCACTTTATCAAGACATCGCTGTGATCAAAACGCAAGAAACTTGACCACTGTTGATTTGACAACGGGAAGTGAGAAGAGTTTCATACATAGATTCTTTAACAAAAGCATACAAAACCTGAAAGAACCAGACAGAGCTCTCCCTCAGGTGAAGCACACTTTCATGTATTTTACAGTAACTTAGCTTTATCATTTGCATATAGTAAATATACGTACATGGCTATATTTTACCACTACAGTATTTGTATTGTTGCATAATTAGAAGTAAAGGATATTTGGGTATTACTTTGCCATGAGGCATTCTGCACTGCTTTATGTCTGAGAAGTTTCTAAATTAAAGAGTATTTAAAAATGGATACTTCATACACATTAAAATAAAGATGCCAAAAGAAAACCTTGCCAACTTCTGTAGAATAGTATCCATATATATGTTGTTATATGAAATGAAAATTGGGTATGAACAAAAGAACAAATGAGTAAAATGGAGAAGGTAGGAATTTGTTTCCTTGGAACAGTAATAGTTAAGGAATGAGATCATAAACATGATGAATATATCAGATATGGAGTGGGAATAACATATAAGTACAATAAAATGAAAAAAAAAATGTGATTGGGACATTTGGAAGGATGTCTGAAAACCAAATCCTGTAGCTGCTTTGTTAATACAAACTAAAAGACAGTACCAGGGATGTGCAACAAAAGGTGAAAATTTTAATCCTTATGCACGGAATAAGGCAAGAGCTTAATCTGTAATGATGATGATGACGACAGTGCTTGAACTGTCATAATTTATATGCAGGTTGTGGCACTTCAAGACTTGCTAATGCGAGGCATAGGAGTACATCATAGTGGGATCCTACCAATTCTCAAGGAAATAGTGGAGATGTTATTTCAGGAAGGATTGGTTAAGGTATGTGGAACAGTAAATTTCTAGTCATTACTTCTCACATGTTCTTTCATCATTCTGATTTCTTGACTGAAAAATGAATTTACAAATGGACACTGGGACTAAAATGTGGCTGATTACTGGCCATTGCATTTTGAGTTGGAAAGTGTATTAGGCATATGTACTTTAATATCTTCTCATCGTGTGTGAGCTTTGGCATAGTACTGTAGAGCCCATCTTCTGACTTAAAAAAGTGTTAAGAATACTGTGTAACAGGTTGTAATATCATATAGTCTGGTTTGTAGAAGCCAGCTCGTGTTTTGGAGGAATGTACTGTGTCAGAATTGAGCACTGAAGATGGAGGTAACATGTTGCAACAGACTATCAGTGGACTTCTACTGGACCACATGGCATTATGCAATCTTCATTCCACTAATTGCTCCACAATCACCCTCGCCTATCATCTGGGGCTGCTACAATAGGTCAGAAGTGGCCGCAGTACAAGAGACTTAGTCCCACCCCACTAGCAATAAAAAAAATAAATGCTCATTTAATATCTTCATGAGGGATAATTAAAGTTTATTTCTTCTTGTAGATTCTAAAGGGTTTTGACAGTGGCGTATGATACTCAAAATTAATGGGTTTTTGGACTTCGTCCATTGTTCAGTATTCTTGAAACTAGAAAACACAAATTTCAGAAACTAGATCTGTTTCCATCCTCAGGTGAAAGGGGTCATGAAGACATAGCAGTCTGATGATGGCATCTGTCCACTTGCATGAGGGTAGGAACATGTGTTTGAGGATTGTACTGAAGCACTGTAATTCCTCTTGAATTCCAATAAAATATTACTCATGTACCACCTGTGTTGCAGCTGTTTTCTTTTCAACGCACATGTTCCTGTTCTCGTGTAGTTATATGATATGTTAAACATTAAATTATACTCCCTAACCTTGTCTCTCCTCCTCCACCTCTACCACCACCCCCTCCTCCTTGTCCTTCTAGAAAAACAGTTGGCCTGCTTAAAAATTTGGATGAAATCCATAATGTTCATAAAGTAGCTATCCTTACACAGTGAATATATGTTCTCATAGCTCCTCTTTGCAACGGAAACATTTGCCATGGGGGTCAACATGCCTGCCCGCACAGTTCTGTTTGATTCCATCAAGAAATTTGATGGATGTGATGTGAGAACATTACTGCCTGCTGAGTACATCCAGATGGCTGGACGAGCAGGCAGAAGAGGACTTGACAAAACAGGAACTGTTATCATCATGTGCAAGGTTGATGTTCCAGGAATGAAGGAGCTCGAGAATATGATGCTTGGTTAGTTCTTTGAGATTCTTGATAGTATTAGTGGTTGCTTATGATACATAGAGCTCTTTTCATTTAATATCTAAATAAGACGTACTTTTCGACCTTGACCAATTGTTTGTATGACCTATGCCACATAATTTTTTTGTTGAATAACCATGAATACACACAAATGACTAACTCCATGAAGTAGAGTCCTTCTTGAAAATGTTGTAGTCTCTCAATTAATCAAGGGATTTCCTACTTTTATAGAACTGGAAATTTCATTCTCATGTTCATGAAAGCTCACCACTGGTAATTTTAGTTAATCCAGTGCATATCCTGCCCTGTTTCTATAGGATCCATTTTAGTATTATCATCCCTTATACAGGTATGCCATGGTATTCGAAGTAGTCTTTTCGCTTCAGAATTTACAACCTCAATGCTTACTTCTCCCATGCATGCTACATTACCTTCCAATCTCATTCTCCTTGATTTGAACGTAATAATGATATTTGTTGAAGAGTACAAATTATGAAGTTGCTCATTATGCAATTTTCTCTACCCTTCTCTTATTTTCTCCCTCTTAGTTCCAGATATTCTGATCATCCTGTTCTCAGGTACCTATCATATATGTTTTTCTCTTAATGTTGGAAATGAAGTTTCAGACCCATACAAACAACAGAAAAATTACAGTGTCATGTATTTTAATCTTTATATTTTGGGGTAGCAGATGTGAAGGAAACAGTAGCAACTTCTCGTCAAATTTCATGCAATTTTAATTTCTTCATAAATGAAATTTTGATTGTAATTGTTATCCCAAAATATTTGAACTTTGCTGCATTTTTAAAGGATTTATTAGGTTTTTATTGTTGTGATTTTGCCCCACATTCTGATGAGGAAGCATTGGCTTTCTCTGTATTTACACCTAGACCAACCTCCCTACTGGCATCTAATTATCTAGTGTTTATTGTATTTGTGTTTCCACTCAATAAATTAGCATTAGTATAGATCAGAAGTTGATATCTCATTCAATACTAATCCATCCAGGTTGTCTGATACTTTCCTAATTGCATATTATAAGGAAAAATTGAGAAATAATGGCAGTGAGGATTGTGTTTCCCACCATTTTGAATTGGAAATGTATGTGTATCTAAGAAATGTTTATGGGTATGGACTTCACGATCAGTTATATTTGAACACATTTTTTAATTAGCACATCTGGTTTCACGGGTATACTCAGTTCAGTGAGAGCGTTACACAGTACTTCTCTTATCACTGAACCATAGACATTTTTTAAGTCTGTAAATGTCTAATATACTCTATCATATTACAACCATTTATTTTCCTAGACCTGATGAATGCAGAATATGTGATCAGTGAATGGTCTCATATGTCTATATATTTTGTCTGTATATACATTTAAAATTTCAAAGAATNTGTTTGCCTATACCTGATGAATGCAGAATATGTGATCAGTGATTGGTCTCATATGTGAAATTTTGTCTATATATACATTTAACTTTCAAAGAATGTTGGATAAAATTTGTATGAGGTTGATACCAGTGATATTTTGTCAAGTAACTAACAAAATTATAAACAGATACAGTAATAGGTTACTTCCACTTCTTTGGCAGTTCTTGCTTATTCCAAATAGAATTAATAAGCTTATGGTTCTCAAAAAGTAATATTTTACCTTCTGCTTGAAACACATCTTACAGAATTCATTTAATATCTGCAAATTTATATATTTTCAGGTTCTCAGTACCAGTCTCATTTCATGTCATGGTCAAGTGGGTAGCATTCCTGCCTCTTACGGTTTGAGAGGTCTTGGGATTAAATCCTGGCCAGAGGAGTGACTATCAATTGAGGTTTTTTCATAGTTTTCCTCAGTCTCTAGTCACATGCCTCAAATATTATTTCAGATTAGGCCACAACTCTTCCTTCTACATTGTTCCCAATTTAGTTATTCACTAATCATATAATTTTGTTGTATGTAGTTTGGGATGCTGACTGTTGGTAAATAAACCATAATTAAATAAAAAAAATGTCACCCTCGATCTCAAAAGAACAGGCTGCAATAGTAATGACTCAGTTGTATGTATTCGGTCTTCCTGACATTATTCTTTGTTCATTTGGAAGCTCATAGAAGTAATTCTTTCACATATTCAGAATACTTTGAGAATCTGCAAAAAGTTCACCTTTCTCAGCCTTTATGAAGTTGGTTTCAGGCTGGCAATACTTAAATTCAGGTGTACCTCACTTCAAGTGTCAAATACTGTTGTTCATACATATTAATACCTTCATTAACACATTAATTAATACATATTAATTTTGTACAATTATCCATTATCCATCATCCTGTTTTTATTTAAGACACAGTGGTTTGGAGACTGGATTCTGTCACCGTCTTCAGGTGGAACCTACTCGGTCTCCAAAACGTATGTCTTAAATAAAAACAAGGTGGTGAATAATATCCAGAAATACAATACTTGTGTTAATATACCATCGTCACAAACTTTTAGAGCTTATTTACATTATTTTTGTGTTTTAAATACTCCCACCCTCCTCTCCAAATGTCTGTAAGTTGCATACCTTACATTTTTCATGCTGACTCAATTTTTTGGCCTTGTATTCTGCAACCGTTTCAATGTAGCCTACTTTCTTTGATCTGATAACTTTGAACATTCTATGTGAAACCATTATGTATGCTGCTTTAAGTCATAGTTACCTATACTGTTTGATACTTTGCCAGACTGTTGTTTTCTTTATTAGCATTTGACTTCTTCAAACATGCAAGCCAAGTAGAAAGTTTAACCTAATATTATTTTTCATCTTCCGCCTCACTTAGTTTATCAAGCATGATTTTCTCTGTATCAAACTTCTGTGTTGCCCATTTACTAGCTGAAAATCTGCATAACTTACACAAACACCAGATAGCGATTGGTATCACAGTCAACTTTTCTGAAAGAGTGAATGTCAGATATACTTGAATGCCATCTTTTATTTGGCAAGACACTGTTAGTGTGGTTGTGTGCCTTCCAGATAGTCCATCCGAGTCTGAGACCCTGTGTGACATTTCATAAGATGCTTTTTGTTTTCAGTAAGGAGTTAGCCCTCTGCCCAGTCACCAAGGTAGAGGACCACTTCTTCACAGCTATCCATAACTGCTGTTCAGTATTGCAGCTACCTTCCCTATCTGGAGGCCATGTCCTTTGTTCACAGCCTGAGGACATGTCATATCATAGAAACGAAGGACCCACTTATAATGAACACAAAAATACATTAAGTGTCTATGTATCCACAGTCTGTCAATAATGGAACAATTGTTTATTCACTATTTAACACGTAACACAACATGTTTCGTCCATAGATGGCCATCTTCGGGTGTCTTAATGTATCCAAACTGATACACTACTCTGATGTATGCTAAGATGCTATAGTCCCGAACCTACATGCTACAATAAAACTACATAAACAAAACACAGCCATTAGACCAATAATCAATTTGAAAAATTCCCCTCCTTATGAATTAACAAAACAACTATAAAAAACATTAAGCAATTACTTACATTTACCACATACATACAATGTTCGAAATCCCATGCATCTAATGACAGGCCTACAAGACATCATGCTCAGCAATGATATGAACCTCTGCTACTTTGATATAGAAAATGTGTATACAATCATACCGAAAATTGGTATTATAAACATAATAAATACAACACTAGAAAATCTAGGAACTGAGATGAATGTACAAAGAAGTTATAGAAATGTTAAGAACAGTGATTGAACAAAATTATTTCCAGTTTGACCAAGAATATTACAAACAAACCTGTGGACTGGTAAAGCTTCAACATCATCAGTACTAGCAGAAACATACATACAACATATGGAGTGCACACAAATATATCCCATCCTAATAAAGCATCAAATAATTGCATATTTTATATATGTCGATGATATATCGATAATATACGATCAAAATAAAATATTGACCACACACTTAATGGGTTCAACAAATTACAATCAGGTATAAATTTCACCATAGAGAAAGAAGAAGAACAGTCTATTAACTTCCTAGATCTAGTAACACATCAAAATGAAATTTGTATGTGCAGTATATTGAAATCCTACCCAAACTGACATAATAGTACCAAATAGCTCATGCCACCCATATGCGCACAATCTGTCCAGCATTAACTGTTTAGTAAATTGATTGTATACATACCCAGTAACAGGAAAAGCAAAGGATGCAGAAATGAACACCAAAACATATTACATAATAATGAGTATGACATAAACTTCATTAGCGACTTACTTGCCCAGAAAAAATAAAACAAAATAGACATGCCGACTCGCAGCAACAATAAACAAAATGGGTTGCCTTCACGTACAGCGTAAGGAAGTGCGAGCAATCACAAAGCTTATTTGAGACATGGAAATAAAAGTGGCCTTCCATACATGGAACACAATACAAATAATATTAAAGCCACAGCCACAAATAGATAAATACGTGGTGCAATCCAAAAGTTCCCGAAATATATTAATAAAAACTATTACGTCTTACCTGGATCTTATTCTGCACCATCACCTTCAAAGTAGTCCCCTTGGGAGTGCATACATCCATCCCAGCGTTTCTGCCACTTTTGAAATGCATCCTGGAAGTCTTTTTTTTTTGTTAGGGTGTTTAGTACCGTCTGCATTTGCCCTTGAATTTCCTCAACTGTATCAAATATTTGCCCCTTCAACTTGATTTTAATCTTGGGGAAGAGAAAGAAGTCGCATGGAGTGAGTACGGTGGGTGGGGAACAACTGCCATCTTGTTTTTAGCCCAAAACTCCTACACAGTGTAAGCTGTATGCGGTCGTGCGTTGTCATGGTGGAGTACCCAGTCGTTCGTGGGCCACTTCTCTGGACGTTTTCTCCTCATGTCCTCCATCAAACGCCTTAGAACATCACAGTAGAACTCTTTATTGACTGTCTGACCAGGACGGACGAACTCCTTATGAACAATCCCATCAATATAA